TGAGGCACCCCAGAAAACAAGGGTGCTTGCGTGCTCATTGGAGCGGAAGGGAGACATATATATATATATATATATATGTGTGTCGCAGATAGTGAGCAAAACGCGTAAACACGTGCTTGTCCAAACCCAAGGCAACTTTGATCAAATGCACACGGATCTCAAGCAACGGCAAATGATGTTTCTTTTCTCGAAAATTCGATACCACCTTGGAAGAGTAGGGCCTGCTGAGTGGGGCTTTGTATGGCTTTCGGGGGGCTAGACACCACTTTACCAAGAGCCTGGTGGCCGCTGCCAGCGGCAAATAAGACAGCATCAACAAAACAACCCCCGACAAGACAATGAACAAGTGCAAACGGTACCTCCAAACGATAAGTCCTCAACAGGAAAGCGTAGATGATATGACTCGTGACTCACTCAATGCACCAGCAAAACCCTGTGAATACCAGGTCAAACATGGTCCTAGCTGTGTGAACCAGTGTAAGAATCCGTCCCGGTTTGTCCTCCAAAAAGGCATGGAACAGACAAAGAGTATATATATATATAATGCATGTGAACTTCTCAAACGACAGCACACATAGATTTCAGCCTCACTGAACCTTTTGCACACGTGTGAACTCCACACACGACCTTTCTCAAATGCCTGCAAATACAAGTTTTACTCCATGACAGCGCCACTGCAAATGGATCACACCCTCGTGAGCTCTGGCCAACAAAGGTCCAAACAGAGCAAGGCGATTCAAGCAACAACTCTACCTAAGCTCTTGCGGCTCTTTTCAGCTCCTGGCTCTATTTCGGCTGCATCAATTCTTGACGTCCATTGAGTCCACATTCAGCATACTACACACCGACATCTTTGCAACCTTGCCAAGTCTTTAACTCCGCCGTGGCTTCCTAGTGTGCGCCAAGCGGAGGAACCTGGCCCCAACTGAGTACACGCTTCCAGCAGCAAAGGGTTCCTTTGAATCTTGGAACGCAACAGTCCAGCAATTGCATGCAGCTCCAGGCGGGAGTTAAAACATGTTAAGACTTATTTTTGGGTACACACCATGCAGCTTTTGCAGCAAAATAACGGAATGTGAAGTGCGTGGTGAGGTGTTGACGGCGACAATTTCATGACCTTGGACTCGAACCCGGCCATGGATTTGCCTGAGGATAACTTGATTGAACATATTGCCCCGTGCTTTACATGTTGGCATTCAGGAGTTGTGCGGAATGTTTCTTTCTTTGCCAGAGTTCCGCCTGCGCCACAGTTCTGACTTGCTGGAACAGATTTTCAATATATAGCCGGCGAGGTGTTATTTTTGTGTTTTCTCCATTTGCCGTTGATGACGTATGATCCATAAGTTGAAACGGATTTGCATCCTGCAAGTTCTTCTCCCACCAAGGCATTGACATTTCGTCCGCTGCTCTTCGAATGGCTGCGCGTCAGACGACATAAAGCAGGGCTGCGAGTAGGGGTTCTGTGGCTTGACTCTTGTTTGGTTTCCGGTTGAATAGGGCGCCGGGCAGCTAAACAGACAATGGCCTGGGTTTGCTTCAATCCTTTGGCTTCAATGTCATATGTCATAGTGTCCGAAGCTGTTTAGATTTTTGTGGACAGACCCTTTCAGGCGAGTGGTGCATATCAGATCAGTGCATGCTGCATGCGCGTGTTGGTATTAAATATATATATATATATATATGTGTGTGTGTGTGTGTGTATCCTACAGTCCCCTACAGGCAGGATTGCATTCGTTTCGGACCATGCCATCCATGCAGTTGTACGTGCAACAAGTGCAGTAGTAAGCAGCAGTCCACGAGCCAGACTTCAAGCAATGGACCATTGAGGGGCTGTGCGCGGCGATTCCATGCTTGATGTTCAACTTGGACCCTCAGAAGCGCCGATTTCGACTTCACCTAAGCTTCCAGGCATTTGATTATTGATTATACCATGCGAGTTCAGTTTCATGTGTGCTGATTCGCGGCCAGCTACCGGTTGGGCCATTCTACTGTAAGGTCCTGAAATCTCCAGAGGACAATGCCGTCTCCTCTTGCGCTTTCCTTCAAACATCACTGTGAGCACCTTTCTAGAACAAGTCCAGCCGGAGACCCTTTGGCTGCACCTATCCGCATCAATTGGGCCTGATGGGTCGTTCAATGTCTTTCTTTTCTTCTCTATTTATGCTTTGTAAGCTTGTTCGATGCAAGTGGGTTTGTATACTGCGTAATTTGAAGATTGGGGGCTAGGCAAAGGTAGGCTTTGCTAAGGTAGGCTTTGCTTTGTACTGCACACCACGACGATTGCTGACATTGCTTGTGTTAGTTTTCCTTGTTTGAGGCTCATTGAGGGACATGATGAATTGTTTTGCAGCATCGACGGATTTGCAATTCCACCAAGCGAGCATATACACCGAGTGCTTCGAGATGACGAAGTTCTGAAAGTCAAGGCCCTAAACAAACTTAATTTAAGTTCTGCTTTTTTGTTGTTGATTTGCTGGGCTGACAGCAGCGACACAGCGCCGGTTAAAGCAGCGAAAGGACATAATATGCACTTGGACCGCACCGTGTGTTTGTTTCATTCACATGTGTAGCACAAGTATGTCAGTTTGGAGCACGCAGTGTGCAGACGAGTGAAATCAAGAGCCAGTGGGCATGTTCTAGCTACCTCCACCGGCTGCACCCATGTTCGACAAACGAGCGTTGCATTTACAGGCCCAACTTTCCACGGTCTTCATTATTAGAAGTCGGCCCAAGACTGGCAAGTTTCCCCCGCCCGCGCGCGCGCAAAGATACCCAAAGCATGCTGCAGCAAGGCCTCGCAGAAACGCCATTAAAAGAGCGGCACTTTGCAGCTGGCGCTCCAGCACTTCAGACTAACGTGATTGTGCATTGCACAAGAAGCGCAGCAACAGCCCAACGGCAAAGCAAAGATGCATGTGCCTCTGAAAGAGGCCAGCCAGCTGGAACCACTTGGCACGAGGATCCGCATGAGCGGGACGAGCTGAAGGTGTATGCCAATCGCTCTCTCAAATATATTCCAGTCATGTTAGTTTGGATTCGTTTCACAATGCAAGAAGACACACCTCCTTCAACAGCCTGTTCAGGATCACAAGTGCAAAGTACAAGCAAGAAATCAAAACACATTGGATTGCAAGGGCTGGAAAGAACGAACACATGTTTGAAACCATAACAAATGCCACGGCCATCTTAGACCTGGATTTGGTGTCACAACAGTTTACGGACTACCTCAAACATGTCTCTAGGAATTTGAATCTGCACAATATGCATGTATGGTATGATTCACGATCGCAGAACTATGACGACTATTGATGAATTGAGTCTGGCCAGCTGACTGACTTGCGGCCAGGCGAAGAGGAGGCGGGTTTCATACCACTTGGCACACACTCCACATGTGGCTGCTTTGTCCAATGGATTTGCTTTGTCCATGCTCGTGTCATGGACTTGCTGCTTTCGCTTCTGGGGTCTCTAGGGCTCTAGGGGCAGCTCTTGCTTCGTTGATGTCAACCACACGTCGCTTCTTAGGCAGGGGTGCCCCATATTGACCCTTGGGAAGCCGACCGTGGACGCTTGATCGACGCACTCCGTCTTTGCGGAGCGGCTTTCATTCCAATCAAGAAGGATGTTTTTGGAGAAGGACCACATTTCCCGGCGTGGCAGGATTTGTGGAGAGAAGCACTGGAGGATTTTAAGAGCTTTTGCAAGCGAAGTGTAGTTCGCAAGCGGCAATTGAGATTCTCCAAAGGTGAGGATTTGCTGCGCACACGGGTTGGTGAAAGCAAAGCCCACACTCCTGACGTCCGCTACAACTTTGGAGTGGGCCATGATGCAGCAAGCGAGGGCCGTGAGGGCTGGAGAACCTTGGAGTGGCTGCCAGACTTTTGGGGAAGGCTGTACCTCTGTGAAGATTGTGTATAGTGCATTTGTGTTCCAGAAAGGTGTAGAAATAAACGCATTTCTTATGAGGCCTACGACTCGTTTGTACCAACAAGCGGGTTTCGGAGATGTTTTGGTGCATGGCTCTGGGAGTGAGGTGGTGTCCATGAAGCTATATATAGTCCCAACGGAACATACTAACCCCCCGTGTGGGGACCAATCCGGACTTCAACAAAACATGACGACCTGTAATGCACATATAATATTCCGAAAACACTCAAGCATTGAACATTGTTTTTGAAGGTCTCTTCTGAACATAGTTTTCAAGAATTTGCTTTGACTATGCTACAACCCGGATTTGCGGGTCCGCCATCATCTGGGCAACAATTTAGATAACGGTTTTCCAATTGAGTGAAAGCCACACCAGCTCCCAATCAGACCTAAAGGATGTGGCGTAAATTTGGAGTAGCAAGAGCTTGCTATTTTTCTTGGCGTCAAGGTGGGCTGCTAAATGAGTTGGATGGACCCACGGACCCACCAGGCTTCTGAACCTTGTGGAAAAAGAATTGCAAAGACGGAAAGCCAACCCCTCAACCCTAACCACCTAAAACCCAAAGGGGTCCAAAGGGTACGTAGAAAAGCCGAAACACAGTCCAGGCGGTTTCTTTCCTTTCTACTGTGTTTTCCCCCAAACAGTTTACTGTTAGGGGTTCTCAACTCTTTCTTAAGATGTGCCCGCCCTTTCTGTCACTGCTGGTGTCCGCCCTTTTCCACTGGCCATGCTTTCTATTCATTTGTCTCCCATGTGATTTTTCCCCACGCAGGTTACTGTTAGGGGTTCTCAATGCTTTCTAAGAGTGTCCGCCTTGCTGCGGGACAGCGTGTCCGCCTTCCGTCCGGCTTGTCTCCCTTGTTTTCCTTCTTGTTGGTCATTGTGTCCGCCTTGTCTCCCTTCTGTCTCCCTTTGTCTCCGGTGTTGTCTCCCTTCTTGTTGGTCATTGTGTCCGCCTTGTCTCCCTTCTCCCTTCTTGTTGGTCACTGTGTCCTTGTCTCCCTTCTGTCTCCTTTTGTGTCCCTTCTTGTGTCCCTTCTTGTCTCCCTCCTTGTTGTTGGTCATCGTGTCCGTCTTGTCTCCCTTCTGTTTCCTTTTGGCTACCGTCTTGTCTCCCTTCTTGTTGGTCATTGTATCCGTCTTGTCTCCCTTCTGTTTCCTTTTGTCTCCCTTCTTGTCTCCCTTCTTGTTGGTTGTTGTGTCCGTGTTGTCTCCCTTCCGTTTCCTTTTGTCTCCCTTCTTGTTGGTCATTGTGTCCGCCTTGTCTTCCTTCTTGTCTCCCATGTCTCAAAAAATGGACTTGGGAACGCTTCTTTGTTGTCCCACCTGTTTGGGGCCTACGGTGGTGTAATTGGGTATTTTTCTCATTTACCGACAACTGAGATGAACCGCTGTCAAATGGCAGCGCCTTCTGACACGCTGCTGTTGTTTCACTTTGAGGAGACCTAGCGTGGATATGTGATGACTTCAGGCGGATGCATTTTGGCGAGCACTGTGTATACCGCCACCGTTCTTTCTTCTTTTACTGAAGCTCTTTTCTTTTCATTGTTTGTGTTAAACCTTTGAACTTTACACTCTAGACCAGACGTTTTGAAGATAGTTTATTAGTTTGCTGGTTCTTGAAAGATCGTAGAAATCAATCGGTTGGGAAGATGAGGTTGTCCATTTTAACGAACATGGTGAAGGAAGAATTGTCACTAGCCGCGGCAGACTTTAAGGACGGTCTGGGGAGTCATCCGAAGAGTGTGTTGGGACCGAAAAGACACGTCAAAAAGAATCCAAACGTCCAAACGATCAAAGAGTACCAACGAGTTTCCAAGAAAGAGTTCGAAGCGGAGGAGCCGTGTGGTACGCTTGCAGCGAAGGCCTCTTGTGTGAAGCAAAGTTTTCGTCGGATACTCTTGCTTCGGGAGGTGCTCTCTGATTGCGAGAGCTGGGCCGGCAGTCGCTTGCGCCACTTGACGAGCAAACCAATGTTTGTGAAAGTACCCTAGGTACTGCATGACACAAGAGCTGAAAATGTTTGTTCAGGAGGGTGGGAGGGTTTGACAACGTCCCTACCTATCCTTTGAGCCAGAGGCTCGAGGTCTAAGACAGATCTTGTTTTTCTTGTAGAAGCGCGCGAGCCGCCATGTCATAATGGTTTTGTTGAGTGTGGTGGTGGCCCAGGGCATTAACACTGTTCCGGACCTCTTGACGGGCCTGGGGGTACCGGATCCTCTGTGGGATGCCTTCGTGGCTACGGCAGGGGATCCGGGAAATGATCTTCGGTTGATAGCGGCCATGCCTGTTTGGACGGTTCCTCAGATTGTGAGGGCCTCCACCTTGGCTTCCGGCGAACGTTTGACTCCGATTCAGGCGGCTCAGGTGGGGCTAGTCTGGCGCAATGCAAGGTGGGTCATTCATTTGCAAGGAGGCGGAAACCCTGACACCTTTGTGGATAGGGACCCATGGATGCCAGAGGCACCTCCGGGACCTCCTGAAGGAGCTGGTGGTGGAACGGCAGTGACCAGTGGAACAACCACTGGGGGCGGTGGAGTTGGTGGCACCAAGGACAATGTGCTGAAGATGGCCAACATTGTGGACCAGACGGATGATTCGGAAACGAAGTTGCCTGATGCAGTGATGTTGAATCAATGGGCTCAAAGGTGCATCGCACGCACAGTTAGCAGCCCTACATCATCGAGTACGAGTACAGAACCAGCCACCCTATGTGGACTTCTCCGTGTGGCTACCTTTTGGGAGGAGGGTGCTGAAGAACCAGAAGTTCAGGGCCTTCCTGCCAATAGGTGATGGATCTTTTGTAATGAAGGAATTGCCGGGCCCTCAAAACTTGCAGCAGTGGTTGGTCAGTTGGAGGGTGTTCAAAGTCGCATGCATTTCATTGAGCCTGGTTACATTGGCCGCCCTCCTCCTGTATGAGAAGGTCATTGAGAAGTTGGTGCTCCAATGGCCCAAAGCTTGGGGCCTGATTGTACAGGCTGATGACAAAGCAAGGGCGGAGAAGTTGGAGAAGATCAGGCGGTCCATTGCTCTAGACATTGCAGCAGGGGGGTCACCTCCGAGAGAATATACAGAAGCGGGCCCGTGGACAGCCTGCTTTAGGGCTTTGGCTTTGGATGAGAGGTTTTGGAATGAGCAGGTGCGTCACCCGGCGGCTGATTGGTTGGCCAGTGGTGCACATGGTTCTCCGAAACCTCCCGCCGAGGCAATAGCCATGGCACATCTTCCGGGACCTCCTGCAGAGCGTGGTGATGACGACGACAGAAGCGATAGACGACGACAGGCCAATAGGGACAAAAGGATGGCGAAGAGGAAGAGGTGGGCGTCCGAGCGCGAAGAGCTTGCAAGCTTCAGCGCTCAAAAGGAGAGCCTAGCGAAGGCAAGGGCAAAGGCAAAGGTAAGGACCAAGCTGCGCAAGAGATTTGCTACAGCTGGGCGAATGGGGTTGGACCTTGTGTACATAAGTGCATGATTTGCTTTTCACCAGGACATCCCAACGCGGAGTGGCCGAAGAAGTCAGCATCTCCCTCGTGACCCCGAAGAGGGCTAGGGAAGAAAGGTGCTGATCCTTCTCGTGTGATGCGAGAGGGGGGGGTGGGCAGATACGCGTGTTTGAGATGGTTTTCCTTTTGAGTTTGAGGGATGTCTTAGGTGGAAGGTGATGGTTTAGTGCGGTCGTTGGTGCACGTGGGACTCGTGTTTTCGTCGATCGTTTTCGTTCGGAGGGTTTCGCTCGGAGTGACTTGGCACGCGACGCACGGGGTGGCCTGGCTGCAGTGGGGCTGGGCGTGCCGTGGGGGGGCGTGGAGCTCGGGCGAAGGCCATGGCGAGCGCATCGACGGGGCCTGAGCCCATGGACACGGACGACTTGCCGGACAGAGTGAAGGAAGCCCTAGAACAAGCTAGAGACTACCCCGAGTACCAGGAACTGAGGATTTGCAGGTTCTTGCTCATGTTCAGCGGGGAGGTCGACGTGTTGGGGGACTGCCTGAAAAACATGGCCAGCAAGGAGGGGATTCAGGTGGAAGTATATAGTTTAGATAAGGGTGAGGGAGGCGCGGACCTCGCGCAGGATCACCCCTTCTTGGAGCTCAAAGAGGAGGCGGAGAAGCGCGCTTTCGACGCAGGACATGCAGGTTTCCCTTGCAACACGTTCAGCAGGGCGAGATGGAACATGGACTTCAGAGGACCGCCGCCGGTAAGGTCGCTGCAGCACATCTATGGGTTGCCATCGAACTCGGTGGAGGAGCAGCGACTGGCGGATGTGGGGACCCTACTAGCTACGAGGTCGGTAGAAGTCATCGGGGCCATCCTGAAGAGCCAGCGGAAGCGAAAGGTACCGCAGTCCGGGACCTTAGAAACCCCCCCAGGGACAGAGACACGTGAAGAAGGACCTGCTTGGGAACTTCCAGAAATCAAAGCGTTTATGGAAGCGTTTGAGGGGCAAGTTGCGGACTATAACACCTGCGCCTTTCAAGAGGGTGAGAGAACCAGGTGGTACAAGCCAGGGCGCTTTGCTGGCCGTTTGTTAGATCTTGAAAGGTTGAAAAGGTCTTGCCCTTGCGGCCAATGGATTCGTCATGAACCTCTTGTAGGGTCTCGTCGAACTGCAGCGGCTGCCCAATACGCAAAGCAGTTATGCGAGGAGTACTGCAAGCTGGTGATCACCGCCTTCAAACACATGATGCAGCTGGAGTATTGGAGGCGCATGCTCAAGACCAAGGAAAAAGAGGTTTCGGCGTTGAAGAGAAGGTGGATCGCAAGCAAGGAGCGCATATATCAAGGCTATCAAGGACCTCCTGAAGGACAACCCACGGCAGATCCATCAAAGAGGGTTTGGGAGCAGACGCAAACAAACCAGGATATCAGGCCAATGATGGGGATGTCGAAGAAGGCCAGGAGAGAAGAGGAGAACGAGCGCTACATAGGAGGCATGCGAAACCCCGGTAGGGCAGTTGAGAGACTGTCGAAGATGAGGCAAGTTGGAATGGACGTCTCCAGGATTTGGGATCGCTTCATCATGGGTTACCCGGAGGCCTTGGACGTGGCGAAGAACTATGGGATGGACGGAAGTCGACCCAACATGGAAGTGGAGATGGCCTGGAAAGGTGCCCTCAAGCAGTTCTTTCAGACCAGGACCTTTCAGGACGTGGTGCTGAAGGACAAGTACGAGTTTGACTCTCCACTGGACCCGGAGCTATGGGAAGGTTGGCTTAGAGCGGCCCTGGACCCTGAGAAGCACCTGGTGGAGTGGATTAGGCGTGGAGTACCGCTGGGCATGAGCAAGGGCATCCCGTGTTGCGGAATCTTCCCAAAGGCAGATGATCCGGATCAAGAGATGGAAGAGGCACCTGAATTGGCAGAGCAGCTAGGCATGTCAAACTATAAGAGCTTCACGGATGAACCGGTGCATGCAAGGGCTGAGTTGGGAAGGCTGGTGGGTGAAGGCTTCGCGGTGGTCCTCCCGACGAGCAAGGCCAACGAGATGCATGCCAGAGGCACAGTATCAAAGTTGGCGCTGCTGGTCAAAGAGAAGGACGATGGCAGCGTGAAGAGAAGAATCATAGTGGACCTTCTGAGATCCGGAGGCAACGCAAGGTGCAGGGTGCCATCAGAGCGGATTGTTCTTCCTCGAGTGGTGGACGTGGTGGACAGTTTTAGGTTCTTATGGAAGACCAGGGACCGGATGGCGATCAAGGCGAAGGAGGAAGAGTGGACCCTTGATGAGGACAGGCCGGATGGGGGCATCTACGATTTCGAGATGATCACGGCGGACCTCAGTGGCGCCTATTGCCATCTTCCGGTACATCCAGAAGAACATGCAAACTGCTTGAGCCCGGGCATTCACCAATCCGAGACCCTAATGTGGGTTGCGATGTTATTTGGATTCAAAGGTGCGCCACTTTTGGTTGCAGCGTGCCTGGCGAGGATCTGGCAGTCGCTTATAGCACCTTGGGAAATGCAGAGCCAGCTGTACATGGACGATCCAATGTGGATCTTGCGGGGCCCATCCTCGAGGAGAAACAGGAACCTCGCCCTCTTACTCTACACAGCCAGAGCACTGGGGATCAATTTGGCTTGGCACAAGGGAGCAAGAGGAAGTCAGCTGACCTGGATCGGGGTGATGTTTGAGGTCATCCAAGCCGAGGCTATGATCAAGCTGACCGTGCCCAGGAAGATGATGATGGAGATCCGCACTACGTTGGAATCCTGGGAGCAGAAAGGGATGGTAAGCCTCCGAGAAGTGCAGCAGGTGACGGGGCGCCTCTCCTGGGTCGCGGGGATCCTTCCAAGAGCTCGCTGGGCTGTCAGCATTATGTATGCTGTGGTTGCTGACACGAAACGGGCAGAAGAAGAAGAAAAGAAGAGAGCAACCAGACGAGCGGACCAGAGACCCAAATTGGGACTGGTGTCAGTGAAGCGTTTAGAGCTACCCAGACGCTGGTTTGTCACTCTCTTCAAGGTCCCGGTCTTGGAAGAGGACGCAAAATGGTTGGGGGCGCCTTGGAAGGAATCTGCGTCGCAGGGACCACTGGAAGCCTGGGCGGTGAAGTTGGCCTTTCGCAGATGGGCGCATAGGCTGGAGGGCAAGAGCGTGGTGCTGAGGAGCGATAGCGTGGTGGCATTGGCAATGGCAAAACGACTGTCCTCCCCGGCGACCAGTGCAGAGAAGGTAGGACAAAATGCAGGTCCGAGAAGGGGATCTTTTGAAGCAGTCATGGACATCCTGCAGGGCAAGTCCAAGTTGCGTCAAGCCAAGGAGGCACTCAGGGGAGATTTCTTAGCAAAATCCTCGAGAGCAGCCCAGAAAACTAAGAGAGCAAGTCTTAGCGATGGCAAGAGCGAGCATGGGAGAAGGACGACAAGTCTTTCCACTTCAGCTGAACACCATCGAGGACGTAGCAGCAGCAATCAAATCTGGGGGATGGACTTCAGGAGATCAGTATCTGAATGAGCTCAAACTCATGCACATTGAAGCGGGCTTCGAGGTGAACCTCCAGATGAACAAGCTGCTGACAGATTGCAAGAGATCCATTAGAAGGAATCGGGGCCCAGTCAGAAGAGCTCCAGAGGTGAAGCTTGAAGACATCGAGCAACTGAAGTGGGTGCTGTGCTGCCAGGACCCAGAAGAACGACCAGACCTGCTTTGTCCTATGCCTGGGCAGTGATTTGGATGCTGAGGGAGATTGAGGTAAGTGCAATGAGATGGAAAGATGTAACGACTTGTGATGCGGGAAAAAGAGTGACCATTCTTCATCCCCCACTCGAATTGCGACCAGCAAGGACTAGGAGTTCGACGTACTCTTCAATGTTGCATGTACAAGAACTGCCCTAGATGGTGTTGCTGGAGGGTGTGGAGCGAAGTATGGAAGGCGTACAGAGCCGAACGTGAGCCTCAGGATTACATCTTTCAGGACTCAGAGCACAAGAAGCTGTCCAAAGCCAAGATGGTGGAAGGTTGGACAATGGTGGCAGGTGAAGGCATCCAAGGACACTTGGCAAGAAGGTCTGGAACCATGAGCTATGTAAGATTGGGCATGCCAACCCAGGAGCTGGCTTTTCTAGGGAGATGGAAGTCGTCAGTGGTGCTTTCATATGCAGAAGATGCCCTGCAGTCAGAGCCGGCAAACAAGAACATCAGCGGCAGCAGACAACGAAAGGACAAAAGAGAGATGACACTTCTCGACAACAAGCTTGAAGCACAGCCACTCGGGGACATGCCGAAGGTACAGGACAAGTCGGTAGGCAAAGAGCTGGTGGTAACCCAGTTACCAAAGAAGCTATGGGTGGCATCCACGGCCTATAACTCCAGGGAGAGAGTATGGCATCAGGTGGAAGGAGCCAGCTGGGACACGCCTATCGAAGCATGGACCTCAGTCTGTGGCTGGCCTTTTAGTAGGCATTCCTCAAAGGTGGCTTTACAGTCTCAGCTCACCCTGAACCAGAGGAAATGCAAAAAGTGCTTGAAGAAGACTTGCGGCATAGCCATGGAGGAAGAGGTGGCAAGTCAGAAAATGACTGCACGTAATGGTTGATGAAAGAATGAGCCTGGAAAGCCGATACCCAGGCTTGACAACCAAGCAAAAGAGCCGCGACTAGCTTTGGCCCCTTTGGAGGGAGGGTGGGTAGATCTAACACAAAGCTCGTTGTCGTTTCATTTCTGTTTCTTCTCTTTCTCTCCACGGCTGCGTGACAGGTCACAGCCTCTACCCGCCAAATGGATCCTGCACGGAGCACACCGACTACGGTGCTTGGGAGTCAAGCTTGGCCTTTCGATTTGCCTCCATGTATATAGCCCAGGACAAGATTTGTTTTGAACAGATTCTTGCAAAAGAGGTTGTTCAATGTTGTTCACCGTCTTCCTAGCAGCACTCAACTGCTGAGGCGTTCTCACTCTACAGCAGAGCACTGGGCCGGGCTTAGAGTATTTTGCAGACAATTCGTGGCAAACTTTGGAGCCACCCAATGGTCACTTGACATCAACCACAAACAACTGCGGATGCTAGAAGCCAATTGGAATGACGTCCGCACCCTGCATCCATATCGTCCCCCTGAAGCATGATAGAATAAGCACTATGGAACGAACTACCGTCTCGACAAATGTCCAAGGCTTCGCAGTGATATTTGCTGGCGACATGCTTGAGGTCATGACAAATGGCCAGGCCAGTCGGCTTTGAGACAAAACTGTGCTTGGGAGCCACAGGCGGCGCCTGTGAAGAAAGTGCCTTTTGAAAGTATAAGCTTGCATTCATCCAGATTCCTCCAGGTCAGGGCCCTGGTTCATCGGGTTTCTCCAGGAGATTTTCGCCAGCCACTTGGCACTAATTAGGAACAGCTTTCGGTCTTTCTTTGGTGCATGAATTTAAGACCGCTTGTGTGGATTCAGCCTGTCCGTGTCTGTTGGCAAGACTTGCCATTCCACATGCTGTATGTATGTGCAGAGGTTTCACTGACTGTCGAGGTCGCACATTGTTTTCTTGCAGCCCGTCCCTTGGCGGATTCAGCCCCAAGAACGGAGGAAGTGCAAGGATATTGTGCCAGATGGGCTGTGCATAGCGCTGCTTGATGGCGTAGCATTGCTACTGCTTGATGCAAATCTTGCGGTGCTAGTACTTGGAGCAAGGAGTCCGTGCTAAGGACCGTGATACAATCGTGCAGCCCCTGCAGTCACATTTGCGCAAAGATGGGACTGACTTCCCACCGGTCACCTATGGTGAATGGCACTCAAAGAAGCACCTTGGCCAACTCGCATCACTTTGATATTCAACTCAATCACACAGGACTCGGGACCAGTCCACTTGCAGGACGAGCCTCGCCTTCCGCAAGTTTTTACCTGCAAAAGGTGGACAGAATTCCAAAATCATTTGGTTGTCTCATGGCTTTGTGCACGGGTTGCTGTGAATTTATCAACGAATTTGGCGATCATCAAAACATATCACAACCTCATTTGGCTCCAGAGGACACAGGCCACAGGCCTTTCATGGGTTAAGGTCGGATGGAGCCCACATCAAATGTGCAATCGCCAAAACCAGTGATGACCTATTATATAAGTAAAGAGTGTTCGTGAAACAGAAGGAGTGTGCTGGAAGCTGGAATAGTGATAGGCCCCCCTTCAAGAGTGACAACGTATGTCAATGCAGCTTTTGGGTATGTTCAGCTATGTTGAAAGGGTGGTTGAGGCCAAAAAAAGCGATAGGACCCCTCCAAAAAGGATAACCTCGTTGGATCATGTTTTCTTTGCTAAGCGGCGGCTTTGGCAGACGCTCACATGCGCCATGGAATTCATAGCCGTCAGGGGCATAGAGAGCTACATCACTGTCACTGTCACTAGTTACAAAATGGCTGGTGCTGTACTTGGCCAAGGCATGGCCAGCAACAACATTTTCAGCTGTTCTAGTAGCATCAGAGGTGGCATGTTTGTTGCTTCAAACTTGGATAAGGGCTTAGGACACCAATTGGCTGCTTGAATTGCCAGGTTGTCCAGGTGCAGATGCCCCCTCTTTCAACGTATGTTGAGTTTGCCAGCCTGGTTGTTGGGTCGGAAACTTACGCACCCTGGACGCCGGAATGACAAATCGCTTGAGACTTCAGCGGTACATGTTTCTCAGGTCCATTGCAGTGGCTCTTGCAGTGAAGCCAGTACGTCGCTGGAAAGCAGAGGATGGAGCTTGGTTGGCCACTTTGCCATAGCTGAATTATTTGAACTCTTGCTTTGTTCTTGTTTCACAGGCTTTTCGGACTGCATGGCTGCTGTTTCTATTTCTGTGTTCAAGCGCTTCTCTCCTACATGGCTTGGAACTCATGATTGCAAAGCATTTTGCTGTTCTTGGTGCATCATTTCACCCGGGTATACATAATCAAAGACTGAACTGCACCTCCAAACTGAGAAACCCGAGGTGCACTTGCACCTGATTGTGGGGGAATGCCAACTGTTTGTGTTTGGAGTTCTGCCAACCTTTTGCCCTGATGCAACCCCGCCTGCGCATGTAACCGCAGCCACAGGCACATACTGAATGAAAGAATCTGAAACGATCAGATGTGGTTAGGAATTGCCTCAAGGCAACGAAACAGCACTCCACACACAGCCTCCTCCACCTGTACTGTGTGTGTGAACCCGGACGCAGGTACCATGGGCGGGTTAAAATGCTGGGAGGGAAATGTGTAGGCGTTGAAGGTGGGAAAGGATGAACATGTTATAAGCAGCACGGTGTCACTGCAAGCTAACGACCCAATACACTATCTACAAGACAGCGTGGTAGTGAGACATTGGTGTCGAACACGTGTTTTTCAAACCGATGATGAGCCTGCTTGAGTGCAGATGCAATTAGGAGCCCTCCAAGGACCCAGGGGGCTTCCATGTTTTGGCCCACTTGTGGGCGCAGGAGTAAACTACTAAACTACTCCGGAAGGAAAATTTGCCCGGTGAATTAGAAGCAGAATGGCTTCAAGAATCGCAGCGCTACAGGCAGCAGAGTTGTTCAACTGGCGCCAGCACCGGCACAAAAGACAAAAAGTGACTGCTTTCTCCTGAGCGCTTGGAGCCCAACTATGCCAGGGCTTTATGACCGGGGCATCGTGGGATCTATATACCCAAGGGTCACGAAATGAAGGCGACAATGACAGACTGAGTGGTTCCCAAGTCAAGTGAAGCACGCTTAGAGGTTCCTCCATCCAGTGGGGCCGGGGGTCAACACTTCACGGGAGTGTTTGAACAGCCGCAAGATGGCAGAGGACATGGCATCACCCATGGGTGCTCCTTGTTCCTTACGACCGATGAATCTGGGTAAAAGGACGTAGTTGGTGGTAAGAAAATTTCCCAGGATAAGTCTCGCATCGTCGAAAGATAATGTGCAATACCCAGGTAGGTCATATTTAAGCCAAGACGAGCCGGGCCTCCCATAGGAATTCCAGTAGGCGGTCAAATTTTTTGAGATGCCAGGGGCAGACTCACAGGGTGATTGGTGGAAACAATCCTGCATGTCGGCGGATACAGTGAGACAATCAAAGTTGTTGGCAAAGAGTACTCAAAGATGATCATTGAAATTGTTGCTCAAGGTCACCGGTCACCACTTCTTGAACAGAATTGCAGTCCGACCACCAAGGTCTGGGCATAGAGTTGAGAGCAGCGTCGATGGTTCTGCATGCCAGACTGTGGACGCGGTTTGTTGGAGTGTCGCTTGGGCAGTGCCCATTCCTTGATGTGGCCGCATCCATTTGCTTGACAGTGGAACTGTCCTCCTGCATCGTCCAAGTAAAGTTGGTGCCTGTTGAAGCATCTACATTCCCTTCCTTTGCGCTTTTGTGCGAGAACAGTGGCATGACTCTATGAGACGATCGTGTATATATTGTATATATATATAATATATATATACATACTGTATATATATATATATACAATCATGAGTCATGAGGAAGAAACCCAACTCTGCCCACCCCGAGGCAATTCCTGTGATTACAGCTGTAAGACATGAGGCAGAAATTGTGTAACTGAAGCCAGGAATCAAACCACATAAAGACAACTTGAGTGTTTTTCATGTTTCTGTATTTGACGGATGGCGCCATGTTCGGCCTCCGCTGTGTGGGACGGCAGTGGTGTTTTTTTGTACAGTAGTGGGTGGCTCCTATGAAGCAATCATCAGGATCAAGTCTTAGCAGCAGCCAGAACCACCAATTATGTTCAACAAATGTATACTATATTGGCGTTACAATATACTGTATATCGCTGATGGCGTCAAGCATCGTTGATACTGATGCCATCAGAACATCAGAATCAAGACCTGTGCCGTGACAGGCTCAGGGATGAACATGCCCGAAGCCTCACCGGTCTATCTGATCTTTACCTTCGTCCCTCCTTTGCCTTTGGCAGAACTTGCTTTAGAGCCCCCCCCAGCTGTGAGTGGAAGACATCCCAATTCTCTTGCTCGCTGCAAGTATTCATATGTTTTTGGGGTGCTGGAGGGGTGAGCGACCCAATCTCACTGTGCTCCCCCAGTCGCAGGCACGGTCCACCATGCATCAGCATGACGCATATTTTCAGCTTCGATGTATGCTCGTGCATCCCCGTGCGAACATGTGCGAACAATGAAATGCCATGCAAGTGCTGCAAGTGCGTCGGTAGTTCTTTGAGGTTGGTACAACTCTATGCAGGACTGAGCAGGTTGCCTTATTGAGTTGCAACATTTCCAGCTGCACAGCTGGACTTGCAGGAGAGATACTACGCACAGGACTGTCACTTGTCTTGTATGCTCATGTGATTTGGTGGAGCAAGAGAGCCAGGACTGCTATATTCAGGGGATGCAGGGGTGTAGGTATCCGCGGTACACATGGTTGGACATGTTGGTGTCTCAGGCTTTATATGATGTGCCTGCCTACGTCTAAATTTGTGTATGCAAGTATTTGCTCAGGCTCTACGAGCTGCTGTTCCGCGAGCAATGTATGCTTCTGCTGATGGCGGATGCTGGTACATTTGCGAACCTGGACAGTGGGCGGCTTTGCAAGTAGAGAGAAAACATTGTTGAACGTCTCATCGCAGGATAAGGAATGTTACAGCTCGCACCTTGGAGCTTTGCTTGAATGCCCACCATGCACCGTCCATCATGGCTGTGATTCATAAGCTCATCGAGCTTGTTTTTTTGAGCTGAGGTGTTTTCCGCGAAAGATTGAAGATGTGTGCGAAGGCAGAACGAATTGGGATTTAGGGCGGCCTGCTTGCTGGAATCAGAATGCTTTGTGGCACAGGTGGCTGCCCAGTGCTTGATTTTGGCAATCGGCTTGGGCGCGATCATTGTTGCTGACTCGAGACCTTTAGGAAAACAACTTCCAGACGAGGCGCCTGGCAAGATATGTCTTTCTATAGGCTCTCCTGACTACTAGTCCCAGACAAGGAGGTAAGCTAGTGGTTTGATGGATGCAGAAGTTGCACAACACACGCCTTCAGTTCTTTGGGAGGCTACGATGCTGGCAGAGGCCAACTCCGTTTTGGCTGTTTTTACCCGAAAAAAGTCATGCATTGCCATTCACTCATCAATGCCCTGTTGATCTGGCGGATCTGCTGGAAAGCTGTGCTTTATGCAATTTTGGGGCTCATAGCTGATAGAAGCAGGGACTTATGTAGGTAGTCAGGCAGGCCCAGCCAGGCACGAAGAAGTGCCAGGATCCATTTCGATGGACGGCAGTGGTGCTTTGGTTTTTGCTGACCATGTCGAGGCGCGCCAAATGGGTGAACATACGCGAGAACTTCGCTTCCCTGAGCTGATCTCCTTGCAAAGCATCAAGATCGTCAGGCGGAGTGACAAGTGCGATGGCTTTGAGGGCCGCACCTATCCAGATATTCGAATGATTGGGCTGGAGGTGTTTGCTGCTGATGCACAAGCGCCAAACTCTACTATGCTGGCAGTGCCGTCCAGCTCGTTGGGAAGCTACAGCGTGCCAGGCCAATTGGTGACCAACAGCATTGTTGTTCGCGGCAAGTTCATCAAGCTCTCCATTGCCATTTACGGACAAGTTCTGCCAAGTGAGACTCCTCTTCCTCACCCTCCTATTGCCCAGCACCTTCGCCCAAGTTCCACCTTTGAAGACAAGTTGGACATGGCGGACCTGGAAGACATGAAGGAAGAAGAGGAGGACATCAAACTTGTTAAAGGATTTGAGTTTGGAGACATGGATCGTGATGACTTTGAGGCTTCAGCAGCTTCAGCACCATCATTTGGACGGGCACTCGGGCTGGGAGCCGTGCAGGAAGCTAATACAAGGCTCGGTGAGTACGCAACATGGGTGGCTGGGGTGGCTGGCCAAGATGGAGACGATGTACTTGAGGCTGATGCAGTTGGAAGGCTGGAAGCCTTGGCACAGGACATTGTCACCCTCGCTCAGCGGGCTCCAGACAATGCTGCTCATGTGCATCTTGGGCCAGACTTGGCGCGAGCTCTATTTTCGTTGGTGTCCCGATGTTTGGAAAGGCTTGAGTTTCGGCCACTTCGCGCTGCGCTGCAAGCGCTGGCTACATGTTTAATCTCGGCAACAGCTGCCACAGAGTTCCTGAGCAGGAAGGGAGGTCTTGATCTCATTGTGTCCCTGTTGAAAGATGAGGGCCAGAATGTGAAGCTTGCAGCTCTTCAAGTTCTTCTGCAGTTGTCTTCTCATGTCGTTGGGATGGAGGCACTTCTTGGATGGGATGGTTTAAATGCAACAAATGCGTATGAGGTAGTGCTCGCACTGGCTTTAGATGGGATGCCCGGGCAGCCAAAGGCAGAGCATGTGGCCCTGGCTTTGCTCAGAAGAGCAGGCTTCTACGAAGCCTTGGCTCGGCTTGATGATGCCTGCTCAAAGCTGGAGGGTGCAGAGGGAAATGAGGCAACCCTGGACCAGCTGCATAAGCTTGCAGCCGAGGCCCTACAAGATGTTGCAACCCTTGTTGATGATCTCAGCCAGCCAGTGACAGCACAGGATGTGCAAAACACATGTTTTCTTCTGGAGGAGGACTTGTTGAACGGGCATGTTGTGGCAGATAGCAAGCTTCCAGCCGTGATTTTTGGGGGTGGTGGCACGGGGCCAGTGGCTAGTGATCCCTTCGCACAGGGGCAGAATCACCTCTATGGGTTCTTAGAATCCCTGATGACTGGGCGACGACTACTACCAGGGTTGTGCACGTTGTTGCGCAGATTGCCTCGGATGCCGCCAGAGGATCGATTGTGTATTTTCCGACCTTTTCGGCAATTGATTTGCACGCTCCTCTCCTGCACCGGTGGTTCCCAATTCTTAGCATCTGACAATGCAACTCTAACGAACATGTCCCTTGGCTGCGTCCTGCAGAGTGATCCTGGTTTGTTTCAGTGCCCCCATTTTGTCAACTGAAGGGTGAGGACATGCCTGAAACATCCTCATTCATTTTTCCACCCAACTCGCATCAGGTTGGCTACCTTGCAAGGAGCAGAAAGTCGCAAGTTGCCAGCAGTGCCTCGTTTCCCGGCAGCACTTGTCCAAGATTTAGGGGCATCACAGCTGGCTGCATTGGTTGTTCTCCATGTCCGAGCCCTTCGCATGTCTTTGCAATTGGTGGCCTCCACAAGGCTGGAACCCTTTTGTTTCTTGTTTTGTCTTGTGGAGCTTTGATGGCCCAAAGTGTGAAGACCACTGCTCTATTGATGCTATTTTCCCTTTGGAGACTCTAAGAAACATGTTCTTTCTTTCTTTCTTTGTATGATGTGCGGTATTGCACTCCTATGCGCACGGTGTGTAAGTTTTCCAACGCCGTTGGATGTTCAGGTCGAAGGGTAGAGGCGGCCTTCTTCCAGAAGAGTATGCTTTTCCCATTCTCGCTACTTTGCACCGGCTTTGTGTGAAGGGGTCGGCTGGTCGGTGTGCTGTGGTATATGCCTTCAGATCAGTCTTCTTCACTGAGTGGCTTATCCGGCAAATCGAAGGTCGCTTGGATGAGGCCTCAATGAGTGGAAACAGCGGGTCATCACAAGTTCAACCTTCTTTGCGCCACCTTGTGGCACTTTTGCATGCGTTGGTGTTGTTTGACCCCTCCGGTGCTGCAGCCGAGAAGTTTGGAACAAGAATCCTGGCACTCATTCACAAGGCCATCAGAATTCTGGAGCCGCAAGCAGAATCAACAGAAGGTGATGCAAGTGGAAGCCTGTTGGAATTTGCGCTGGACAGTGAAGGTGCTGAAGGTGGTTTGGGAAGAGCAGTCCGAACAGGGCGAAAAAGTGCAGACTTGGAGTGTTTAAAGAACTTGAAAGAGCTAGCTGCTCAGCTGCGACCCTGGGAAGAGGAGCAGGGGCGAGAAACGAATGCCAAGCTGATGTCAAGCCTAATTCTCTCGAAAGGAGCTCGGTCTCTCAAGCGATCTGCCAATGAGGAGAGAGGTAGCAGGCGCTTTGCGCTGGTTCTAGGTGGGCATGCAGGAGCGACCAACGGTGTGGAAATACCTGAGGTTGACTTCAAAGCCAGTGAATCCCTCGAACATGGTGATTTGGCTGACGACCACGAACGCTATCCGAGCGATGATTTGACCGAACTTCCGCTGGTTGCCATTAGGGTCATCTGCCGGCGAGCTGCCACTGGACCGAAAGAAGCTTTGGCTATTGCTTTGCATGAAGCAGACGGCACAAATGCCTCAAAAGCCAGGGATGGTTTGGCACAAATAGTTCCTTGGTTGATCCGGTGTGCAGGCGCTTTGAGTTTGAATTTGGAAGCGACCATCCTCCATGAAGACAAGAAGCCCATAGCAAGTATCTATGCCACTAGGGGTGCACATCTTCAACTTCTGGAGGCAGCTCTTCCCACCTGTGCCCACTTAATCAGTGGTCTGCGAGATGCTGGCCTGGTGCATTATCGGCACACAGAGCTTTGCCAAACGCTTTTGCTTCTGGCGCAGCGGCTCACATCCGGACTGGGAGGTTTAGCCCCTCGTGCATTTTTCGGCAGTGACCCTGAGTTTAGACTACTGTGGCGGCATTGCCTGGTGTGCTTGTGCCGAGTGTTCCGCCTTTGGTTCCAGGCATTCCCCAAAGTTGCAGGTGGGCAGCTTTTGCTCCCGCTGCTTCGGCATGCACGTGTCCTGCCGATAAACTTGTCTGGGGACTTGATGCTACTGGCCACGTGTGGAAGTTTGAAAGCTGTGCTTCCTACAGAGCCTTATCAGTTCAGCCTTCAGTTTACCAGTTCGCCACCTGCCAGTGAGGGCATTCAGTCCCATGTGGTGCTGCTACCCACTGGCACCCGCACTGGGAATCATGCTGTAGTGACTCTGCGACATGAATCGCCATCTCCGGACTCGGGCACCTTTGGCCAATTTCATGGCGACTCTGAGGTGCAGGATTGGGAGGAGCAAGCAGCTGGAACCAATGGAGCAGCGGGTCCTGCAAAATTGGATTGGTTGGTGCGAACCTTGGCACAGGAACGTGAGACAGGTGCAGCACAGGCCTTGGGATTGGTGGAGCTTGTCAATGCTCGGCGAGAACGGCTGTCTCTGGATGATTTTGGAGAGTTGTTGGCTGCGCTTGCTGAAAGTGCGCTCACCTCGGATGCTTTTCTTCATCTTTGCACCGCCAAAGTGATGGAGAAGCTCACTGCAGCAGGCTTGCCAGTTCTACTGATCATTCGAAGGCTGGCCGAAGCAGCTCTAAATGGTGTGATGATGGAAACTGATGGGCGAGAAGGAGAGGACAACATTAGTGGAGGCGCCGCTAGGGATCCTCGTGATGCCAGAGCAGTTTCTCGTTTACTCATGCTGCTGTGCCACTTTGGAACCTTGAGTGACTCAGCGCGCCTCGCTCTGACAGAACATTCTGTCGAAACTCTTTGTCAATCAGTGCTTGCACACTCGCCGGCTTCATCCTTGCCTTCCATGGCCTTCTCACAGTCTATCAGGCTCTTGGGCTTGATGTTTTCCACCCCCTTCACCCACTCCGTGCCCAAGTGCAGAATGGTGGCGAAAGCAGTGAACCTTTTGATCAACAAAGCTGACAGTGCCTACACTGCTCCAACTGTCAGTGCGGCGTTGGAGTTGCTGTTGGGCCTGTGCACTCCACAGTGGCTATGCCTCAATTTGCTCTTCAGTGGTTCTGCTGAAGACGTAGAGGACGAAACTGTTCAAGTAACAACTAGCAGTGCCTTCAAGCTTGAAAAATGCATGCAGCGTTTGGCACAAGAGCTTGAGGCATCAAGTCAGCAATATCGTGCTGCGGAGAAAGGCACTGAGGAGGAAACCGCAGTGGATGAGCTGGCAGCCTGGCTGCGTGCCACAGAGCTCATGATTTCCCTTCAGCGAGTCGTGGTGCAAAACTGCCCGAGCTCAACAATCTTTTTGGAGGTGGTGCTTGAAAACTCAAGTGAACCAGACAGCCTTTTTGCTGACGTGATCCATAGTCTGCAGGAATTTCCAGCCCCAAAATTATTGGAGAACAAGGCTGGTAGACTCCTGGAAAGCATCAAAAGCTTGAAGGAAGAGCTGCTAGCAAAGCCAACGGGGCCGCTGCCCAGAGCTCTTCCTAGCCAAGTCTTTGCCCCGCCAGTTCGGGGAAGGAGTGACAAAAAGAACAGCGAAGACAGGTGTAGACAGCACCCTGACAACCTTTTGGCCTCAGATGCAGGAGATGCAGATGCTGTAGTCTCGCTTCTTGATGCTGCTGCGGACTTGGAGTCAAATGCAGAGTGGATATCAGTCGTCGAGCTTGACCCGACCGACACTTCAAGTGATGAGAAGATGGAATGTGAGTTTGATGCCTCGGCTTTGCGGAAAAAGCGGCAGGATTTTCTAGAAAAGTTTGAGTCAGATCGTAGAGCCAAACGGTTAAAACAGCAGGAAAAGCAGGCAGAGCAGCGGGTGGAACGGGCTGATGAGAAGACTGGCCCACCAACTGGTGCGCCTACTCAGCCAACAGCTGACCCAGCTGACCATGGACATGGAGCTGCCCATGTCAAGCCCGAAAAGACCGAAGCTCCTTCCAAGAAGAGCGATGGCAAGACAAATCCGGCAGAGGCTTTGCAGAGCTTTCTCAAAGATCATCCTGAGTTCATGCGCGTCCTCCAGAATCCGAAGAAGTGTCTTGCAGACCCACGGGTGAAGACCATGTTTGTCACCGAGCTTCAAAACTACCCAGCGGTGAGATCATTCTTAGCATCCAAAGGTCTGCAGCTGTCATGAGGTGGGTGGAACTCGCAGCTGTATGAAAAAATGCTTGTTGCTTTCCTGCCGCTAGTTTGTGCGGATGTGCTGTGCAAAAGGGGCATCAAAATACGCACCAAACAGTGAGTCTGATTGTGGATCCATTTCCTAGCGGCAAGTGCCAAAAGAGGCACGCGCTGAAGAGATGACCAAAACAAGTGGTGCCTATGATCGCCTTGAGCATAGGCCAGGCCCGCAGTGCATTTTCAGAGCTGCACGAGTGCTAGATGCGGATCTGTAGGATTGTGTGTCTCGCAGGTGTCTAGCAGAGCTGAAGGATCGATGATGTTCAAAGTGCGATGCTTCATACCCCACGCCCTCGAGCGTTTGCTTGCGTTTACTTTTCAATTTCTGTTTTTTTTTTGGGGCAGGGGATCACACAATTCGATATTGATTGGCTTTCAAATTGTGGCTCAAAAGGGCGAAAAGGCCCATGCAACTTGACGCTGGACGCCTTCTTGTGCATTTTCAGGCTGACTGGTCCCACTCCGAAAAAACATGTCACGTAGGAGATAGAGACATGAGACATGTATACAAGGTAGATCAAGGTCGGCGTGCGGCGTGTCAGAGTGAGCAGGATGTCCATGATGGAAGGAATCGAACAATATAGCGTCCCTGGGTGTTGTTGGGTAGGAAAACATGCCGCAGATGTCTTTTTTGTGCAGCTAAAGCTTGACTCTCATTATTTTTCTTTCTCTCTCTCTCTCTCCCTTGTTAAGAGACAAGCTTTTTCACAATAGCTTACTTACTCCATCGTAGTGTTGATGTACAACTGCACGGTGCTATACAATGCACCTTGGATCAAAGGCCTTGAGCCCAGCCTAGCTGAAGAGGAAAACAATACAGAGACGTGCACAAACAAACGACAAACAAACAGCTGCTGAATTTTACATGGTAGCGGAGCAAGGATCCTGGTAACAACAATCCAGGTGAGCTCCAATACAACAACAGGAACAAGCACACAAACACAGACAACGGAGAGCAAGCCTTGACCCTACAACAGGTAGCTTGCACAGCTGCAACAATGGCAGCACAACCAGCAGCAGCTCAAGCTGGAGATGGCCTACCTCCAGTTCCAGAAGACGAGACAATCACCAACATGGCAAACATGAACAGATACAAACTCAAACCACCTTTCGACAATGGAGACTATGGCACGTTCGAGGAATGGAAGTACAAGTTCACAGCATACATGGGATTGCAAGACAATGATGACACAGAACTACTACAAGCAGCAGAACGAGGCACAGCAGAACTCACAGAGCTACAATTACGAGCAGCGACATCAACAATCGAAGACGGTGAACGACATGTTCGCCTCAGCACTGATTTGAGGTACATCCTCATCAACACAACAACTGGAGCAGCAGCTACAGTATGCAGACAATACCAACACACAATTGGCTTCGAGATGTACAGACAACTGTGCATCCGCTTCTCCATTCCATTGGGGACAAGATCCATAGGACACTTGACAAGATTGTTGAAACCAACGTTTGACAAGAACAACTTCGAAGAATCATTTTCCACATGGGAATTTGAGCTACAAAGATTTGAGCGAGACAATGGACAAACACTCCCAGACTCCGTGAAGATTGCCGTACTGCTCAATGAGACAAGTGGACCACTACAACAGCACCTACAACTGCTTTCAGGACAAAGCCCAAACTATGCACGAGTCAAACAAACAATCATCGAGTACTACAGATCAACAACAGCATTCAGCAAACTACAACAATTACGATCACAATCATCCAGTGTAGCAACAAGCTTTGGTGGAGGACAAGCGCCCATGGACATTGATGCAATCCACAAAGGAAAAGGCAAGTACAACAGTTACAAAGGAAAAGGAAAAGGAAAGAACAAAGGCAAAGGCTACGGAGGATACAACGGCTACGGGTACAACAGTTACAACATGAACCACAAAGGAAAAGGAAAGTATGGAGGAAAAGGATTCAACAACTACAACAACAGTCCGATCGGCTTTGGCAATCCATTCGGAAGAGGCAACAAAGGAAACAAAGGATTCAGCAAAGGATACAACAAAGGCAAGGGAAAGAACAAAGGAAAACAAGCAACAGATACATGCTACAGATGTGGAAGAACAGGACATTTTGCAAAGATTGCCGAGTGGCAATACACAACATTGGACAAGGAGAAAGCAACGACATTGAAGATGCAACAGCACAATGGTACGATGACTACTATGACAATGGATGGTACTATCAGGACTACATGAGGTCACAACCAGGACAACAGCCATTGGCACTACCACCAATTCCGTCCAA